GACGTCACCTCAAAATTTTGCAGAATAAATCCTATCTTAAATGCATAAAATATGATGAGTTTTATACTTGTGATTTATCACTGCATTAATATTTTTTAGATTTGGTTATACAGGGTGTCTCAAAAAAGTTAATGACTGATTCAATTTATTTTATTGAAGAAATCAAGAATAGCAAAACTGAATACTTTGAAATATTGTAGATGTTTTGAAGTTTTTGTAAGCATGGTAACTTTTTTGAAAATTTGATTAATCAAATATGCGCAAAATCAAAAATCGGAAAAACTGGAATTCACTAATGCAAAAAACAGAAAATCGAAAAATACAAATCGTAAAAATCGAAAATCTAAAAATGAGTAATCAAAAAATCGAAAATTCAATGAATCAAATACCTATGTCGATCGAAAAGTGGAAAATCACAAACCTCAAAAATCGAAAATTGAAAAACGGGAAAACCAAAAAATCGAAAAGTCAAAAATTTGTAATATTGAAAATTAAAAAAATCAAAAACAAAAATAAAAAAAATCGGAAATTAAAATAATCAAAATATATAAAGTAAAAAAAATGAAAAGCCTAAAAACTGAAACGAACAGAAAAATTGGAAAAACAAAAATTCGAAAAATCTAAAATCGAAAAAGTGGAGAATCGAAAATCTGAATAAAGCAACTTGGAAATTCTGAAAATTGGAAAATCGAATACCAAAAAATCGGAAAGTAAAAAAATTGAAGTCTAACAGTTGAGAATGGAAAAATTGAAAAACCGAAAATTCTAAAAATCGACAATGGACAAATTGAAAATCGCAAAATTTAAATTGAAAAATTGAACATAGAAAAATCGATGAATTGAAAAATCGAAAATTCGACTACTCGAATTTTCCAAAAATCGAAAAATCATAAAACTGGAAAATCCAAAATTCTAATCATCGAAAGTCTGAAAACTGAAAATCGAAAATTCTGAAAAGCGGAAAATAGAATATCGAAAAATTTAAAAGAAAGAAAATTGAAGTCTATAAACCGAAGAATGGAAAAATTAAAAATCAAAAATTCGAAAAATCAAAACCGAAAAATTCAACAATTTAAAAAGAAAATCGAAAAATCAAAAATCTGAAAATTGAAACTCGAAAATTTGGAAAATCGAAAAGTAAAAAAATTGAAGTCTAAAAGCTGAAAAATGGAAAACTGAACAATCGAAAATTCGAAAATCAAATATCGAAAAATCGAAAAGCCGAAAATCGAAAATTCAATGAATCTAATACGTAGGTCGATCAAAAAACTGGAAATTCACAAATCTGAAAAATCGAAAATTTGCAAGATTGAAAAACCGAGAATTGAAAAATCAAAAAACCGAAAAATGGAAAAATCCAAAAATAGGAAAACCGAAAATTCGAAAATTCATAATATTGAAAACTCTAAAAGTCGACAATTCAAAAATCAAAAAACTGGAAAAAAATAATCGAAAAATCGAAAAGTACACAAATTGCAAAGCCTAAAAACTGACGAACAGAAAAATCGAAAAATCATAAAACCAAAAAGTGGAAAATCGAAAACTGGAAACTGAAAAAACGAAGATTGGAAAATCGAAAAATCGAAAATCGGAATATCGAGAATCGACAAATTACAAAACCGAAAAATCGAAAAATTAAAAAATCGGAAATCGAAAAATCAAAAAAAAACGAAAATTCAAAAATCGAATAATCCGAAACTAAAATAATAGAAAAGTGGAAAAGTAAAAATTGCAAGGCCTCAAAACTGACTAACAGAACAATCGAAAAATAAAAAAAAATCGAAAAATATCTGAACATGGAAAATCGAAAAATCGAAAATCGGAAAATGAAAAACCGAAAAATCGAAAATCGAAAACTCGAAAATTCGATGAAACAAATACTCGAAAAAGCGAAAAGTAAAAAAATTGCAAGGCCTAAAAATTGAAAAATCAAAAAATCGAAAAAATGAAAATCGAAAAAACGACGATCGAAAAAAAATCAAAAAATCGAAAAGTGGAAAATCGGAAAGTCACAAAATTGAAATCTAAAAGCTGCAAATTGCAGAACCATAAAAACTGAAACAAACAGAAAAATCGAAAAACCACAAAAGCGGAAAAACGAAAATCGAAAAATCGTAAAATCAGAAAATGGAAAATCGAATAATGGAATGTTGAAAAATTGAAGGTCGAAAAATAAAACAACCGAAAAATCGAAAAATTTTATGATTAATGGAAAATCGAAAAATCGAGAATAGAATAATTAAAAAACCGGAAAATCGAAAAATCGGAAATCGAAAAATTAAAAACGTAAAATCGAGAATTCAAAAATCAAAAAAATCGGAAAGTAAAATATAATCGAAAAATGCAAAAAAATTGCAAAGTCTAAAAACTGACGAACAGAAAAATCAAAAAATCAAAAAATAGAAAGACGAAAAATCGAAAATTGAACGAATGGCAAATTAAAAAATCGAAACATCGAAAAATCAAAAAAACGAAAAATAAAAAAATCGAAAAACGAAAAAACTGAAAACTCGAAAAATCAAAACACCGCAAATTCAAAAATCGAATAATCCGAAACTAAAATAATAGAAAAGTGGAAAAGTAAAAATTGCAAAGTCTCAAAACTGGCGAACAGAACAATCGAAAAATAAAAAAAAATCGAAAAATATCTAAACATGGAAAATCGAAAAATCGAAAATCCGGAAATGGAAAAATCGAAAAATCGAAAATAGAAAACTCGAAAATTCGATGAAACAAATACTCGAAAAAGCGAAAAGTAAAAAAATTGCAAGGCCTAAAAATTGAAAAATCAAAAAATCGAAAAAATGAAAAAAGAAAAAACGACGATCGAAAAAAATCAAAAAATCGAAAAGTGGAAAATCGGAAAGTCACAAAATTGAAATCTAAAAGCTGCAAATTGCAGAACCATAAAAACTGAAACAAACAGAAAAATCGAAAAACCACAAAAGCGGAAAAACGAAAATCGAAAAATCGTAAAATCAGAAAATGGAAAATCGAATAATCGAATGTTGAAAAATTGAAAGTCGAAAAATAAAACAACCGAAAAATCGAAAAATTTTATGATCAATGGAAAATCCAAAAATTGAGAATAGAATAATTAAAAAACCGGAAAATTGAAAAATCGGAAATCGAAGAATTAAAAACGTAAAATCGAGAATTCAAAAATCAAAAAAATCGGAAAGTAAAATATAATCGAAAAATGCAAAAAAATTGCAAAGTCTAAAAACTGACGAACAGAAAAATCAAAAAATCTAAAAATGGAAAGACGAAAAATCGAAAATTGAAAGAATGGCAAATTAAAAAATCGAAACATCGAAAAATCAAAAAAACGAAAAATTAAAAAATCGAAAAACGAAAAAACTGAAAACTCGAAAAATCAAAACACCGCAAATTCAAAAATCGAATAATCCGAAACTAAAATAATAGAAAAGTGGAAAAGTAAAAATTGCAAAGTCTCAAAACTGGCGAACAGAACAATCGAAAAATAAAAAAAAATCGAAAAATATCTAAACATGGAAAATCGAAAAATCGAAAATCCGAAAATGGAAAAATCGAAAAATCGAAAATCGAAAACTCGAAAATTCGATGAAACAAATACTCGAAAAAGCGAAAAGTAAAAAAATTGCAAGGCCTAAAAATTGAAAAATCAAAAAATCGAAAAAATGAAAATCGAAAAAACGACGATCGAAAAAAAATCAAAAAATCGAAAAGTGGAAAATCGGAAAGTCACAAAATTGAAATCTAAAAGCTGCAAATTGCAGAACCATAAAAACTGAAACAAACAGAAAAATCGAAAAACCACAAAAGCGGAAAAACGAAAATCGAAAAATCGTAAAATCAGAAAATGGAAAATCGAACATTCGAATGTTGAAAAATGGAAGGTCGAAAAATAAAACAACCGAAAAATCGAAAAAATTTATGATTAACGGAAAATCGAAAAATCGAGAATAGAATAATTAAAAAACCGGAAAATTGAAAAATCGGAAATCGAAGAATTAAAAACGTAAAATCGAAAATTCAAAAATCAAAAAAATCGGAAAGTAAAATATAATCGAAAAATGCAAAAAAATTGCAGAGTCTAAAAACTGACGAACAGAAAAATCAAAAAATCTAAAAATGGAAAGACGAAAAATCGAAAATTGAAAGAATGGCAAATTAAAAAATCGAAAAATCAAAAAAACGAAAAATAAAAAAATCGAAAAACGAAAAAACTGAAAACTCGAAAAATAAAAATACCGCAAATTTGAAAAATCAGAAACTTAATAAAATCGAAAAGTTGTACTGACAGACATAAAACTAAATCATCAAATCAGTTTATTCAACTTAAAGAAAAAATATCAAAGCCTACTTTACCATATAAAAATCGTTAATGGATAATAGAAATGGTGGATGCGCCGGGTTTGTTTTCTAATATTTTTCATAAATATATTTTTTTAATTCTGATAGACATCGTCGAAACTGGGAGAAAAAATCATATTCAGCCCGATTTAAAAACCAGAGCGAATGTCCCGAATCCGCGCATTTTTTCTTTCGTGCAGTGAAATTCAGCCAACGCAACAAATTCACATCGAGAAGATTACATTTCTACATTTGCCGACGCGATCCACCTTATAAAGATAAATACTACCTAAGAACTTCTCCATTCATTCTTTTTTAACTTCGTTGTTGTCTCCGGCTTTGAAGCTGCTCGCTTTTCTGGCATAAACTCTTTTATACCGAGTCTCGAATTACCAATAAAGGAAGCAGTTTAGTTAACGATCTTTAAAATGCTCTTTGTTTCACTTCCTCAGTCTCAGACCTGCAGCGAGCTTTCAAATTGAACGATCACCATAAAGGCAGAGATTACGTCATTACAAATTCACTCTCTCCGAGATGTTGCTGCGACTTTCGGATTGCGAAATAAGTTGTAGAAATTCCTCGAGGAGGACAGGGAACGTAATCGGACGCTGGCTGCAAGGGTGGGAATAAAGGCAGCCGCACTGAATTAATTTTTCACTCACTTTGGATATCCGGAGTAATCCGGCCGATAAAATGGTCAGACGCTCGCCGAGTGCAACAGGTACGCTTTGTCCTTGCAATTCCCGTTTCCAGTAGTATCCAGGAACCGGATGTCCTTGCGCGACGCACGGCAGCGTGACGTCCTCCCCCAAGACGACGCGTCTGGCGTTGTACTTGTCGACGCTGATGCGCGGCTGGACGTTGCCCTTAGGCTCGGTCACTATTATCCTGCCGGGGTACATGCTCGTCTGGACTTCACCTGAAAGGAGACAATGGACAACACGGTTATATAACCGAGAAACACCAGCATAAAAATTAACAGAGATCGTGAATCTCCTTTCTTTATGGCTCCAACTCCCGAATCAAGAAAACTCCCCTTTTAAATCTCGCACGCCCCGTTGTCCGGCTCCCTCCACATTTCCCCGAGACTATATTACCCCGTTTCCTAAATGTGTTTGTGGAACTTTTCCAATTCGATACAAACAGCATTCTCTTCTTCCTGCGACCAACTTTTTCATTAAAAAACCGCCGGTCCCAAATATTTTTACAGCCCAATGTTTGCTTGGCGAGTCGGGGTATTTCTTGGGTAAACAGGAACTACACAGCGACAATTTCCAAACTCCTAATGTATTCCGTACGAGAGCCAAAGCAATTTTTTGCCGAGAGGGAAATAACCCCGCAAACTTCGCGGTTGCAGAAAGCAAAGTTTTAAATAAACTCACTTACTGACTCTTTCGGATCGAATTACCCAAATAGTGGGAGCTTTAATGCTCCAGGAAATGCAATTTGCGCTCCTTGGAACACTCATGCCGTGAATATTTAATTAAAGGAGTGCAGAAGTTTCGAAGAATAGCGACAGTGTCAATGGTGAAAAGCAACGAATTTAAGGATTATTTCGTTAATTTACCCTTTTCATTGATCGAGCTAAAAGTATGATTTTAACATGAGTCTGACCTGTTAAACGGTTGACAGTCCGACAGCCATAATTCTTGTAGCCGTCTCCTGGTCCGACGTTCGCCACGTAGAGGTCTCCGTTGCTAAGGACGACATATTTTCCCCCTATGTCCGTGTTGGGATAAATGTTTACAGTTTCGTCCTGGACCCAGGACGTAACCATGACGTACTCGGTCACATAATTCGGAATCTTGCATTTTAGCACCGCCGTGTTTCCGGCTATTACGTATTCGTCGTGCACTTGGACGTCGTATTTCTGCTTGACAACTGCAAATGGAAAAGCCACAGTGAGATACGTCGGGACATTTCCTGCTGAATGCGCTGCAGGAATTTTTCTTTCAACAACAAAAAAAACATGTAAAAAATGAAATTGTTCCCTTGTTGTTAGTTGTTCCAAGTAAATAACTTGCGCGAATTTACGTCCTTCCCCGTGTTTCATGAATAGTTAAAAAATCCGCTTCATAAATAGATAAAGAAACGTCTTCCCAAACTGGTCGTATTACGCCGATCAATCGTAATTTAATTTAACAAGTTTGAAATCTCGCGCACCTACACGCCGAATCTTAAAGTTTTTCGAGCCGTTTTCACCCTCAAAATGCTAATTCGGCCCCGAATAGCCCATTTATTTCGTATACTGGCTGTTGGAAGTTGAAACTTTTAAATTGGGCAAGTCGAGCAAAAAAGTTGTTATGTACTTGTAAGTCCGTACACACAATATAACTTTACAATGTAAATATACTCTCAACTTTTCCGCTTAAACTAAACGTGGGAATTTGATATATGGCTGATGATAAAACGGATCGGGTAATGATTTCCAGTGGCTTTTGTTCGAATAGGGGAATTTTGTTTGGAATAGTGGTTTATTTTACGAGGTAATCTCGATAACTACACGGGCCCGAGGTATGGGGCAAATGTTAATACTTAATTGAAAATGCAACATATGGAATGGGGCTGATTTGTATCGAGCGGGGCTAAATGATTCGTTTATTAACTGATTTAGCTGAATCGTGTTACGGCCATAAGGGACGCGGAAAATCGCTTTATTTATTCATCCCGGCACCGAATATTGCCGGTACGATTTTGACCGCCGCTTCGATATTTAATGCTTTAGGTTTATTTATCACGAAACAATTACCTATGTACATTTGTTTTTAAACAAAGAATCTCCAGTGTTCATTGTAGAGCCACATTTAATTTATAATGTTTAATTTTGGTGACACGACGCTCACAACCATGTTGTTATATAACTTGCATAGAGTGTCAATGATTTTTTAAATCACTGGTTTTTGGTTTAAAAAAATCGGATTTTTTCCCAACCCTCTTCCTAACAATAATGGGAATTTTATACAATTGGATACCACTGCATTTGTGGTTTATGAATCCGTGTTGATTTTTTAAGGTTATCGGAAGTATGGCAAATCGTTAGTTTTCTGTTTATCCCCCACTCCAACTGATGACATCATCTTACAATTTTGCCAAGTAATTATGTAGCATAGTACAATTTAATAATTTTTCAAAGAAGCGGGATTTGTTGGATTGTACTTCAGGTGCGAGGAAAGTTCAGCGAAAGTAGCCTTCGACCAGTTTTTTATCAGTTTAATAGATTTTAATGCGAAAAAAGTGCCCAATTTGTCACAGTTCGATCAGATGCAACTTGGCCGAGTGCCAAAATTAGTTGGCAAAAAGTATAAACGGTTTATTATTATCTTTGTTGTGAAAATTTGTTATTAGAATTTGTTAGTGGCATCTTAATTTTTGTTACTGGTTTATAAGAAATTGACTGATCCATTGAAAATATTCTCTGTAGTCAGCGGTACGTAGTTCAGCATTTGTTGCGATGTAGCAATCAATTTTTAAGTAACTTCCGTGGGGAACCTATAATAAATTGGAGGGTTTTTGTAAATCAAGAACTACAAGTATTAAAAAAGTGGTTTGTTCTATTTTGTAATAGAACGACGTTTTCCTGGTTTGGACTGTTGTCAGTTTTGAAGTGTTTAGACCTTTTGTCCACTTCGTAAGGAACATTTTCGTGTTTATTATTATTATTTCTATATAAATAAAAAACTAAAGTGGAAATTTCTGTGAACATCTATTTCTGAAAAAAATCAGTGTTTGTGGTTTCGAAGATTTTTGAGAAAACTGCTAATTGTGCAGATATTCTAAGTAAGTATTAAGTGGAGGACTTAAGTTGATTATTACCATTTTAGACATGTTTTAAGTTTCTTGTTGTCGAAATAAATCTACATATATTAAGAAAACAAAGGCAAAATATAAACCCCGCCCACCCACCCTATCTCAATTGTGATGATTTTTTTATTCGTCGTGAGCCAAGAGGGCGTAGCTTAACTGCAAAATCCTGATTTCTCCACGAGAAATTGAAACCATATTTCTGAATATCGTGTTGTTCAAAGAGTACTATGTATATTAAGAAAAATTAAGCCCCACCCATACCTGCCTTGATCTACATAGTAATGAAGTTTTCATTCGTTGGCAGCCCTAGGGGCGGAGCCTAATTGCAAATTCCATATTTCCCTCCAAACATTCACCATTTTAAACGTGTTTTAAGTTCCTAAGAATAAAAAAATCATTACAATGGAGATGGGATGGTGGGCGGGGTTAATATTTTGCCTTTTTTCTTAATATACACAAAATTCTTTGAACAACACGATACTCAAAAACATGTTTTCAATTTCTTGTAAAGAAATAAGTATTTTGCAGTTAAGCTTCACTGCGAATAAAAAAATCATCACAATTGAGACAGGGTGGGTGGGCGGGCTTACATGTTGTCTTTTTGTTTTAATATGTGTAGACTATTTTCACAACATGAAACTTAAAACATGTTTAAAATGGAAAATTTGCATACGGAAATATCGATTTTTTTTCCTTGCAAACATGTACCATTTTAACCATGTTTTAAGTTACTTGTTGTGAAAATATGGCCATGTATATTAAGAAAAAAAAAAGGCAAAATATAAGCCCCGCCCACCCACCCTGTCTCAATTGTGATGATTTTTGTATTCGTCGTGAGCCAAGAGGGCGGAGCTTAACTGCAAAATCCTGATTTCTCCACGAGAAATTGAAACCATGTTTCTGAGTATCGTGTTGTTCAAAGAGTACTATGTATATTAAGAAAAATTAAGCCCCACCCATACCTGCCTTGATCTACATAGTAATGAAATTTTCATTCGTTGGCAGCCCTAGGGGCGGAGCCTAATTGCAAATTCCATATTTCCCTCCAAACATTCACCATTTTAAACGTGTTTTAAGTTTCTAAGAATAAAAAAATAATTACAATGGAAATGGGATGGGTGGGCGAGGTTAATATTTTGCCTTTTTTCTTAATATACAGAAAATTGTTTGAACAACACGATACTCAACATGTTTTCAATTTCTTGTAAAGAAATAAGTATTTTGCAGTTAAGCTTCACTGCGAATTAAAAAATCATCACAATTGAGACAGGGTGGGTGGGCGGGCTTACATTTTGTCTTTTTGTTTTAATATGTGTAGACTTTTTTTCACAACATGAAACTTAAAACATGTTTAAAATGGAAAATTTGCATACGGAAATATCGATTTCCTTTTCCTTGCAAAAATGTATCATTTTAACCATGTTTTAAGTTACTTGTTGTGAAAATATGGCCATGTATATTAAGGAAAAAAAGGCAAAATATAAGCCCCGCCCACCCACCCTGTCTCAATTGTGATGATTTTTTTATTCGTCGTGACTCAAGGGGGCGGGGTTTAACTGCAAAATCCTTATTTCTCTACGATTTATTATAAAAACATGTTTTTCTGTATGGTGTTCGTCAAAGAATGCTGTGTATATTAAGAAAAAATTTAACCCCACCCATGCCTGGTCTGATCTAAATAGTAATGAAGTTTTCATTCGTTGGCAGACTTAGGGGCGGAGCCTAATTGCAAAATCCACATTTACCATTTTAAACATGTTTTAAGTTTCTAAATATCAAAAAATCATCACAATTGAGACAGGGCGGGTGGGCTATCTTATATTTTGTCTTTTTTTAATATTTGTGGACTTCTTTTCACATCATGAAACATCTTTAAAATGAAAAATTTGTATAAGGAAATATCGATTTCCTTTTCCTTGCAAAAATGTACAATTTTAACCATGTTTTAATTTTCTTGTTGTGAAAATATGGCCATGTATATTACGAAAAAAAAAGGCAAAATATAAGCCCCGCCCACCCACCCTGTCTCAATTGTGATGATTTTTTTATTCGTCGTGACTCAAGGGGGCGGGGCTTAAGTGCAAAATCCTTATTTCTCTACGAGTTATTATAAAAACATGTTTTTCTGTATGGTGTTCGTCAAAGAATGCTGTGTATATTAAGAAAAAATTTAACCCCACCCATGCCTGGTCTGATCTAAATAGTAATGAAGTTTTCATTCGTTGGCAGACTTAGGGGCGGAGCCTAATTGCAAAATCCACATTTACCATTTTAAACGTGTTTTAAGTTTCTAAGTATCAAAAAATCTTCGCAATTGAGATGGGGTGGGTGGGCGGTAGTTAATATTTTGCCTTTTTTTCTTAATATATATAAAATTCTTTGAACGACACGATACTCAAAAACATGTTTTCAATTTCTTGTAAAGAAATAAGTATTTTGCAGTTAAGCTTCACTGCGAATAAAAAATCATCACAATTGAGACAGGGTGGGTGGGCGGGCTTACATTTTGTCTTTTTGTTTCAATATGTGTAGACTTCTTTTCACAACATCAACTTAAAACATGTTTAAAATGGAAAATTTGTATAAGGAAATATCGATTTCCTTTTTCTTGCAAAAATGTACCACTTTAACCATGTTTTAAGTTAGTTGTTGTGAAAATATGGCCATGTATATTAAAAAAAAAAAATGCAAAATATAAGTTTCTTTTTACACAACTTGTTTCCGGAACTGTCAATAAAACTACATAAATGAAGATATTACGAATTAATAAAGGCGTTTATGGCCTTAATAACGTCGGGTTTATGCTTAATTTACATTTTAATGTCCTCGCACGCGTGATATTAGAATATTTTGCACTTTATTACAATTGCCATATAAAAATGTTTTAACCGTACCCCAAGACATAAAACAAAATTACTAATCCCGGACGAGAAAAAATTCACGACACCGTTTCCATTTTTGGTTGTCGCGAATTGTCGAAACTGAAGATGCTATTAAAAGCACCGAAACCGATCAGCAACAAATTCGTTTGACTGATCAACCGGTGCGTTTTCTATTTCCCGATCGCATAACCCCAA